AGCAGTAGTAGCAGTAGCAGTAGTGTTGGTAGTGGTAGTAGAAGAAGTAATAATAGAAGAAGAAGTAGTAGTAGTAGTAGTACTTGCGGGTACTAGTAGTACTAGAAGCATCAAGAAAACTAATTGTACGAGAGGTCGTATCAATACCAGTGCCAGCTGCAGCAGGAGGAGGAACAGCAGCTGCAGGAACTCATGGCAATCGAATTTACTGGACATGACGCTGTGACGAGGTCACGGCGCCTTCCGTCAGCACCTCCTGTGCGCTGCGCGCCGTGGCAGCGAAGAGGAGGAGGACTCGTTCTGCGCGATGGCTGCCTTGTGCGTACGGTGTTGAACTACTTCCAATAGCCGCTATTAGCAAGGCGTTGATGCCACTTCTCCACTGCTATTCATAGCACAACCAGGCGCTGATGTTGACATGGCCTTGCTACCGCACGTTGTTGCTGCTTTCGGGTCTGATCTACGGCCCAGTGTGCACTTTCCCTATTTAACGACCTCTTGTTTAGCTGCTTGGACCGGCTGCTGTCTTGATTTAACTGCGTACATGCTTCTTTCTTGCAGGCGTTTGAAACGCGGGAATTCCGCTTTCGTAGGTCTTCCGTGTTTAGCTCCAGAGCCACCCCCGCAGCAAGGGATGTTTCGCTCAAGGACAAGTACAGCTTGGTTCACAACTGGTACGAGACGGCTGTATTATTCCAAAGGGACTGCGTCATGCAGCTTGATTGCAGTTGTTCGCCGCATATAGGTTGGAGTCTGCTCGAGAAGAGCAGTCTAAACTCTCTTGCCTGACGTATTGGCCAAACTTGCGCTACACCTGTAGCTACTGGTGTTGCCAGTGGCGGAGCGCGAACACCACGTCGGACTTGTTCCAGACTACAAGTCTGTCGCTTCTAGACTTGAGCAACTGAGAGGATACAAACTCTCCGACAGCTCAGCATTACTAAACACATGGGTTTCCAGTCTTGCACAACAACCATTTCGATCATGTAGGTCACGACAGTACTGTAAAGCCTTTAGCCCAGAACGACCACAAAGAAACTTGTGCAACAAATATCCACGTTAGCAAGCTTGCAAGATACAGTAATGGAGCAATTTTCGAGCCCGGATGCACCACGGAAATATCTCCAATATTCGAGCGAAAACACAATTTCGGGCAGTTCATGGTTTCTTGTCCCTTGCAGAGCTGTACCATGCATGGCTGCGAAGGTCCCGCTTGCAATGGAACAACGAACCAGGTTGATTTGCAGCAGCCTCTTCTGCGCGGACTCTGGGCAAGCAGCATTTCATTTTTGTGACTAGTTGGAAGACTGCCGCGGTAGGCAGAAATGCGGCAGAAAGAAAGGCTTCGACACTTCTTTGTCCGTCGGCCAGAGCAGCGGCAGCTTTACTTCTGGCTGCAAAACATTTGGCTGCAACCGCTCTCGCCGGACAGAAAATCCAGCGCGGCCTTTGCCACCCTTGGCCCGTCTTGCTGCGCTTTATGGAACACTTGAGGTAATTTGATTGATCGACTGATTGAGTGCCTGTGGGTCCAAGGAACTGGTAGCCGCGCTGCCCTCTGACTACGACGAGGATAGCAGGGGCAGCGCGGCTACCAGAGCCTTGCAATGCACGGGTGCTCAATCAGGCAGTTTGACACTTGGAAAGGTGAAGTTGTGGATTGGCGGCTGGCTCAACTCCATTAGTGCCAGTACCACAGGAGGGGTTACGAGGCCTGCTGAGCCACCTTTGCCACTGCCTGCGATTTTACCCTCTGGATGATCGACGGGAAATCTGACCGTGCCACCGGCATGCCGACCACCAAACGAATTAGTTTGATAGTCTTCACGGAACCAGCCGACACCAATCTAACTGTCTGCCGGTTGCGGAGCCGACTCTTGCGGGCAAAAGATTGTTTTCGGACATGACTGTCCCCTGACGCGAACAACGACCCCTGCAGTTCCGCAGCTGAAACTCTGAAGAAATGATGTCCCTGAGCCAGGCACACGCTTCGTGGCTGGAGCTCAGCATCGCCTGAAGCTGCCAAGCACGTGGCTCTGCATGAACGTACGCGAGAGCATTAAAAGCACTCAGTCTCTCCACGGCCATGCTTCTAGGCCAGCGACAAGAATTGGAGTCAGAACTCCAGCGTCTAGCAGGTGTCCCGTGATCTTCTTGAAGGTGCCTCGTATGTTGATGGGTTCAGCACAATGCACTTTAACTGCATGGCCATACGACATCATTGCAAACTCTGCCACATGTCGAGTTTGTGGAGCGAAGTTTGTCCAGACTCCCAACCGCTCAGGTATCGATGTTTTGAGACGGCCCATCGAAGTCTCGAAGCCCCAAAGCTGAAACAGCTGTTTCAGCAGGTGACGCTTGTCTTTGGTCTCGGCCAGGGCCGCCAGGACGGCAGCAGCCTCAGCCTCACACAGCGACAATTCACCCGTTCAATTCACACCAACTAGGAACGACATGCGCTACTCGCTAGCATTCCGGCAATCACTGTCGTAGCCTTGCAGTCGTGGCTCCCCTCATTGAGCAAACCTCGGCAGTGGAGTCAACACTCGGACGTCCTTCTGGCAATTCCCGTGTTGGGGCTTGTATAGAATCCTCGAAGCTCGAAACTGACTGTTTCAGGACGAGAAGCGCAATGTCTTTTGCACGATGTGTGCCTCCTCAGATTGGCATCGAGGAATCCGGGAGTGATGAAAGTCGTAGCTGGCTAATTCCGCGACGACAGCCCGACGTGCACGTGATAAAGCTAAACCACCCAAACTTATAGCCACCACTGTGAACTAGCCGCCTATTCGTTCTTTCTATTCATGCTTCTGATCCTTCTGACCAAAGGATGGTCCAGACTTTGCCAAGCAGCAACAAGTGCCCTTCTCCTTAAATCTGTGCAGGCCAGCTGAGCTATGGCAAAGGCTGCCGGCAAATTGACCTGGAAATCACCACAGCAGTGTGCGCGAGGATATTCAGAGATCAAAATTGGGCTCTGACTCATTGGCAACACCAGCACAGGAATCGTGGCTGCTCTGCAAACGGAGGTACGCGAAAAATAACAGCTACGAGAAGACATCTGTATGGTGGGGTGCTGGGGGAACCGCAAGCGGGCTTTGCAACTTCACATCTGAAACTCCAGAACCATGCCTCGTCGGGATAACCGCTGTGCAGGAGAGCGAGCAATTTGCCGAGAAAGCCCTCCCGCAAGTTGAGCGTTGGTTCGGGCAAGGCTGCTTTATGCGAATAAGTATCAATGGCGCACCAATCGCACCCTAGAGCTTTGACTCCGAATGGCAGTGAGATTGATCTTGCGTGTTTAAGTTAGTTTTCGGACTCTAGGTTCCTGTGCTGAATAAGGCTCGCGATCTCGCGAGAGAGATCCGCATTTCGAGAAGCGCCCTCCGTTGGTAACGTGGATGCTCCGCCTCGAAGAGCATCGAAGCTACCGCCTCACAAGGCCAGCATGTCATGACTATGACCGTCACCATAACCAACAGTCCGACTTGACGACGACTTTGATAAGGTATTTACAAGACCGTTAAAGGAAACTCAGGCGAGCGGTACGAATAAAGAGACGTGTCATCTGGCTTCAACCTGGCCGGCGTAGCTAGGTCAGCCTCGAGCATTTCTGTAAACTGATTGGGTCGAGCATCAACACTACCATGTGTGCCAGTCTTGTCGGCACCAAGGCAACATTAGAGTTCTTCTCAGTGTACGAAAGCTATCAAACTTTCTACAGCTAGTCTTGTTCTTGCATCATTGCTTTCTGACACCCCGCCCTCGTGCCATGAACATTCACCCAGCCAGGTCACACCAACCCGAAGCCCCCTTAAAATCCCTCACTCGGAAGGTAGTGATCGTGGTCCTGCAACTGGAAAGGCTGACGATGAGGGCAGAACAAAAATGGACCATAGCAGCAACAGTTACAACAGTCTTCGAAGGTGTTGAATGATCGGCTTGCCTGCCGAGCGGGTCTCGAACGGGGACTACCGCAACCATTGACCATGGAACTTTGATGGAAGTCTATGGATAAGCATCCACAGCTCCGCACCTGATTTGCTGCCAAATACCCCAGCAGACGTACCTTGGAGATGGATGAAGCTGTGCTGTAGCGGAAGTTAAGTCGCTCGAGATAGCAATGAAGCATGCTAGCATCGTCAGGTACTCGACGGGGTAGCTCCACAAAGGCTAAAGAAAGGAGTGACTGGTCGCTGACGCGTCATTAGAGACGCGGCAACAGCAGCACAGAGCACCAGGCGGTGCGTAGCGGAAGTTAACATTTTGGAAAAGGGTAGCGAGTCTCTCCTGCTCGGGGTGCCTACTTTGACAAAGCTGGTTAGGACTCAAGATGGAGATTATCTGTAATGCTGCATGTGTTGTGTTGCACGGAGCGAGTCGCACCACCAACTGACTAAATGCCCAAGTCACTGCATGAGCAAGGCTTGTCGGTGAGCTGCTGTCCAGCAGGGCTGTCAGGTGCGGAGGTACGCCTCGTCAATGCGACACCCGGAACCTACGGTACAGTGGCTCCGTGCCCGATGAAGGCCATCGAGTCCGAGGCCCTGGCCTCCAGCGATCAGCTCTTCGCGAGCCTGCTTCATCTCATGCTCAATGTCCAGCAGGCCAGGTATGCTACTTGAATTACGTAAAGCCTTCTTACGCGGTTAAAGCCGGCTTTTGAAAATCGGAACCACGGAAGCAAAAAAAATCCAAGTCCATTTCGACCCGGCCTTCTCTCCGGCCGCCACATGTACGAGTACAGCCATCGCAGCCTGTCAACCAATCCGGAATCAACTTATCGACCGGCTTGCTGCCAGTGCGGAGGGTTAGGTTTAATCTTCAGCTAGCTTGCTTAAACCACAGGGCAGCCAAAGACCATCAAAGCCCGTACCGGACCACCGGCCCATAACAGAATGTCCTGCAATAGACCAGGGCGAGTGATGGTGGGACTTCGCGAAATCGGCAGGAAGCCTCTTGGCATTCCGGGTCGTCTGTCGTGACGAGCTTCATTACGGCCTCAACACCGCCTTGCCACGGTCAGCAGCCAGGCGATTAGCGCTAAAAAAGTAACATGAGCTGCTGCCACTGCCAGGAGATTCAACAGGCACCGACGCGTTATCAACAGAGGACTGAAAACACCACGTTGTAGATAAATGCCATGACCGGATCATGCCGGCAGTTTATTACTTTGCACCTGCATGGTGCTGTCTGGACCCGGCCTGTGGTGACGAGAATTCGCTTTCCAACTGCACAGCGTCCGAGATTTGCAAGAGCTTTGGCTGCCTGCGACAGGAGCGCTTCTACTGCCTTTCTTCTTGTGTCCACTGGCTAGATCACCTGAGGGATGAAGTGGATATGGGCTTCAATATCAAAACACAGCTTCATGCAGCCGGCGCCTTCAATGGTTCTGATCCTGTATGTCTGAATGTATGTTTACCCTAGATGCCTTAGATGTGTCCAGAGATCTCCCCCTAGCATCGCCAAGGCTTCTGCGGTAGTGCCTTGCATCTGACATCCAAGGAAACGTCCGACAGCATCGCCACCAAGGGCCTTTGAGAAAAGCCGCGGTGGTGGTGGGTAGGGAGGTCTGTCATGCTGGGGTGGGTAGCGGCGGTTGTGGCGGTGGTAGTGGCATAGCGGTGGTGATAGGTAGCAGGTGTTGTCGTCGCAGCAGCATGAGTAGGAATGTGAGCAGTAGCAGTGGCCGTGCCGGTGGCAGTGGCATCGTGGTGGAGGTGGTGGTGGTGGTGGTAGTCATGTCACGCCAGGATTGGATTGTGAATGGCGCGTGGGAGCCAGGAAATCTCTCTCGCAGAACAGTATTTGCAGGCTTCAGGTCTGGTTTGGGTTGGTGGGGCGCGGGTCTCAGTGTCAAGTTTGTAGAAATAGTTTTCGGGAAGAGGGACGGGGTGTCTAGGTTTCTTCACGTGCAAGCAACCTTTCTTCGCAGGCATTGTGCTCTCGCATCGGTGCAAGCTTTCCAAATACTCCGACAAGTGTCTGAACAGCGCCAGCCGCCACGAAGCGCGCGCGCACATCATCTGAAGTCCTTGATTGGGTCGGCGTTGGGCACACGCAAACCAGGCTTAAGTTTGAGTTCAGGGCTGTACTGAAACTTCTTCAATGGATGAATGTCTCATACTGTGTCGCGTGTGCATTCTTCTGTCGGTTTCAATCCTCAACCCCGCGAAGGCTGGCACATCCTCTTACTTCCCCAATAAGCCAGGGAAATAAAGGGTTAAAGTTTCAGACTACTACAAAATTATAAGAACCCAAAAAGTTTAAAGTTTGGGTATTGGAGAACTAAGTCCTACTGGTACGGACAAGGAGCAAAAGCGACTCCATCGAGACGACGGCTTGAAGGGACTCGTGGACAGTTCCCCACGTCATGCAATGCACCTCATCAATTACAGACTATTGCAGCCACTAGAAAAAAAACGCTTTTCACGTCGCCTCTTCTCAGCAGAGGCTTTGATTCGCTGCTCCTCTAGCCTGTAGCCCCCCTGTAGCCAAAAGGAGCGCTCCGAGGCCAGCACCACCTCCCGAGGATTGGCACCTCGAAACGAGGGGTTCCAACATCTGCCCCCTAGGACCAACGGCAAGATCGAAGGAGCGCTCAGTAACATCGATTCAACCTCTTGTCCCCTTGCGATGTGGTAGCCATGCCATTGGCATGGATAGGCGAATGTAAGAAAAATGTCGGCCGACGAAATCCCAACTGAGTGCATATTTCGGGCCCGAACCAGCATCGATGAGCAACATTGAATACAATCATGTGTGACCAGCTGCTGTCGAACGCCATGACCTGCTTTTTCGTTGCCGTCGCTTCCTCCGCAAGAGCACAAGTTCTAGAACAAATCGAGGGTTAAACTCTGTTTAAGGAGAACCTGCCCTGATTCGTCTGACAAGCGGGAAGTAGCCAGGCACTGCATGCTTGATTCGAGCTAGCTGAAGTCACGGTGTGCCAGCTTTACTTGTGCAGCATGCAGCAGGGGTCTCCCATGTCCCTGCTCCCTCCCACATTGCCAGACTTTCTACAGTGACAAACAGTTCGACTTCTTTGAACCACAAATTCGCCCACCTGGACGACAGGCGGCACGGTGAGTTCCTGGTGTGCGAGAAGCAGAAGCACTTGTTCTCCGCCGAGACACTCCGGAAGTAGGGTACTGCCATCCCGCTACGCCCTGTCTGCAGTCTGCAGCCGCAGGCTGGCTGCGGGGTTGAGGGACTACCTGCATCTAAGCTGCCAGTCTCAGCGTGCCGGCCTGCTGAAGCAGGCCAGTATGAAAGGATGCACACCCGGGCTCCGCGAGTGGCCAGAGAACGGCGATCGTGCGGAAGCCAGTGAACTGGAGGATCCGAAACCTGGCCTTGCGCCCACGCAGCATCAAGGTGACACCGCCATCCCATCCAGCAGGTGTTACCTCACATCTACAACCGCAGTGGCGTGCAACGGTTAGTCAACTGCAGTCTGGAAGCGCCTGGCCACCAACTTCCCCCCTTCTCCCATCGATTTCAAGTCCAAAATCCCAGTCTCACTCAAAGCTCTGCTGCCTCTTTTTGAATTGGATGCGAAACGGAGCATGCCCAAGGCTCGGGCCACGATCTTGGCCTCTCCGAGAAATTCCTTTTGCAAAGCCGGTTTTTGCACTGGATGATGCGTGGTTTACTACCACCACAGGTAGATGCTGGGTTTCGGAGTTGAGCTGAAGAGCCGCAACAGGCACTGCACGTCCCGTGCCCGCTTCGCTCTTACTTCGTTGTGTTCAGCCGACAAGATTCGTCATCCTTCTTGTCTTCCTGACTGAAAACCTTGAAGTGCATGCTGTCACCTTGGAATTTCGATGTGGCAATGACCCATGACAAGAGTGCACCTATACACCCATTCTCTGTGATTCAGGTCACCGAGTTCCAATCCTTCCAGATCCTTAGTTCAAGTCTGGTGCTTGAGACATCTTCATACCGATGTCTACGAGATGCAGAGGGCTTCGGGAGTAGAAGGCGCAAAAAGTAACACACAGTGTCTCTCGATGTCTTCTGGAATGAGAGGGGGATGTCAATGCCATTCGTGTCGCACAGACTGCATTGACATTTGCCATCGTCTCGGGATCATGAAGTTAAAAGTACCGCACATGCCTGCAGCTGATCTTTTGTCAAAGTCGAGAGGCGATCCACTCGTGCCAAACTGGGTCCAAGCTCTTGAACCTCTGCGTGCGGGATCAACACGAATGAGTTTCATCGGAACATATCGAACTTCACTTCTTCTGCCCAATCGATGCGCTGCAAGCCGCCATCACAGCATTCCGCTCGAACTACCCTTTGCAACCAGTATACAGTATACAGATGTACACAGCATAAGCACTTCTGTATTCTGTACCTGGCATCTCATCCAAGCAGATCCGGCAAGCCTCGTTTGCGTCCGAAAGCCCAGGTGTGGCTTGCCAGAAATTTTGCACACCACATACCTCGGCTGCTGCGTTGTCGAATTAACCTCATGTGCTCTCACTGTGACGTGATTCGCGACTCGATCCTAGCCCTTCGACCCGGGTATGGCGAGTCTAGCAGATGATGCAGATGCCAAGTGCAACGTGCAGCTTTACAGTGTTATGGATGCCAGAATCCTGTATGCCAACGACCACCAAAGTCCTGCAGCCCTCGCCACGGGTTGGAGTTGTCATCCAAGTCTGCTGCTCGCAGACCGACGCCTTCGCACCGTAGTCAGTGTATTGCCGTGACATGGGGAACTCTACAGCTTTGCGTACCTGCAAGCGTTGCATGCCAATGTGCGTTGGCTGCTAGCTGGCACTACACATGCGGCAGTGGACTCTGGTCATATCAAGTCAGCTCTACGGTTGGGTGTGCCGTTGCACAGTCACTTCTCTGCATGCACGAGCTTGGGAACCGGGCCTTGGATGATGAAAATGCTGGACCTGCTCGGCATTGCAGTTGTTTTTACCAGCTATGTAGGCAAGAGAGCGTCTGCAAGCAACTCTTGTGTTCAGCTGCTTGCGGCAAGAAACTGGAACCTTTAAGCCTTTAAGTATTCGGAGCATCTTCGAGGCCATCTGTCAATCCGGCCTGGTGATGTAGACCTCTGGTCTGCCATAATTCGATTCCCAGGCGTGTTCATTACCTTGTTGCCGAACAACATCAAACAGCAGCAGGAGGCAAGAAGATTGGCGCCGGGTCATGCCCTGTCTGTACAGACCGGGTGCGTCTCACTGCGTGCTACGAGCTCCCCATTAGCCGGTGGGATGTCAGAGCAGGTCCAATATGCAAGCGATCGCATCGGCAAAGCACCGCCCTGATTCGGAGAAAAAGTCCTGAGGCCCAGACTGCTTGGCAGCACCACCTCGGGACAAGTGAACCAGGCCCAGATGATCTCCTCACAGCGTCTGCGGTGGTTCGTCTTCCCCCGAGTGCATCTCTTTCCCTGGTTGTGAACCCTTAGCCTTCGCGTCTGCTTACATGCCAGTGTTTTACAGATGCTCGGCTGCTTCCAGTGCCAGCCGAAAAGAAGCCTTCAGAGGCCGAAGGCAGTCATCACTCTGCACACAATCCTTTCTTTTAAAACTGACCTCCACAATTAGAAGGATTTGGGGTGCACTTTTTCCGTGCAGCCTGTGAATATTGTCAAGAGGGTCTGTCGCTTCTTCAGTTCTTTTCCTATCATTTGTTTGCAGACCGACCACCAGGAACCACCTACCGGCAAGACGACAGCAAAGCCTCAAGACTCAAGAAGTAATTACAGACACGACACCTATGCTTGATTCAAATCATCTCCGGAAGCATGCTGCTAGTAGGTACTTGCAATGCGGGCTTCTCCTCACCATACAGCTCAGGGCCCAAGCACCAGCGATCTGGACCCAACCGGTAGATGAAGGCCCCTCCTTGTCAGCAGCCACTCGGGAGAGTCAATGTTGCTGAGCCGCCAGGCGACGGTTGCATTCGAGATGCCACGTATATTGGTGATGATGGATGGCGCAGAAGGAAATGAGGCATTTCAACGCTCAACCCTAAACAACTCATCTGAGGAATCTTCGCACGGGGAGGATGTGTTAGGCTTGCAGGCTTGACAGTTGCCGCACGAGCTCCTCCAACTTTCTGGAATATTCTTGGTGTGCTGGCGTCCTTGGCTTCTGGGAGACATTGCATCACTGGGTATTGACAAAAAAGCAAGTCGCAAGCTTGCAGACTCATGCGCTAGATGACTCGGCAAGTTGACTGCAAGCACGGCCGCTCACGAATTTGTTAGTCCGCGTTCAGACTTGCAAATGCCAGCACAGTGTGGTGCCGGGTCTGGCCACGGGTCGAATCGAAATAAGTCGGAACAGCGGGGCGACCGCGGAAAGGAGTGCTGTGCTGCTACCAGTGCGGCAGTGGCCAGGGCAGGAAATCCGACAGTGATTTTCCGCCCGTCATGCTTCAAGGCCGATGTGCACAGTGTTCCCAGCTATACAAAGGTAAACACAGCGCCCTGCCACAGCGCTGTCACGGAACGCCATCCCTCACAGCGCTGCACTAGCACCAGGGCACACGACCGTCCTGACAATACTCATAGCTTAGCAGCCATACCTGCAAGGCGCTCAGCTGCTTTGAGGGGATGCCTGCCATCAACATGGCCGATAAAGGGTGGGTGGATCGAGTAGCCAGCCATAACCTGGATTTCAGGAGGGAGCATGGCAACTTGGTCGAAGGGCACCGACAGCATCATGTTCTCCTGTGGGCGCACCCATGGCTGGCAGTACTGTGCTGTGAAAGCACATCGGTTGGTGTTCTTGCTCTTGTTTGCACCACCCCCATGCCAAAGAGTACCCGAGAAAAAAACACAGCTGCCTATAGGAAGCTCTGCTGCAATGCCGAGTTCTTCTACCGCTTGTTGATCAGGAATCTGATCATCACCCCACTTGTGAGATTTCGGGATGACGACGGTTGCACCGTTCTCCGCCGTGAAGTTATCATCCAAAGCCCACACGGTGGCCATCGAAAAAGGGTCCCGCGGCCGTGGTACATGGGTGAACTGGTCATCATAGTGGAGTGGCTGTATAGACTCTCCAGGGCAAATATCAATGACCTGCGCAGCAGTGAGCAAAAAGTTGGGCATCAAGAACTGCTCAAGCAAAGCCATGACTACGGGGTGAGCGATCATGCTGTCCAAAGCTCGTGTCTTCGACAACACTGCATACACACGTCGAGTCTGGTAGCCTTCAAAGTTGTTGCGCCCTCCTTCCCCCAGAAGGGGCTCGATGGCCTTCCTAATCTCGGAAATTTCTTCGCGCGACAGCAAGTTCTTCAGCACGACGTAGCCCTTTTCGTGCACTTCGTTCACAGCCCACTCCCACTCGCGGGGTATTGTCTTGTCGGCTTTGAACCTCTCGGACATGTTCAGGACTTTCGTGTCAGTCTTGATTCCACCGAAACGATTGTTTGCTGCGTCGGGGTGCGAAGTCGCCATGCTATTTTACGAACTGTAGTAGCCCGGAAGCCCTGAGATCGAACTAGACCTAGACTTGAGCCACAGATGTCCGCCCTGCAAGGAGACTTCTGCGAAAGTAAGACTTCTGCATGCATTGTCTGTCAATCGATCTAGGGGCAGCCCTGGACAGCTACGAGGAAAAGCAACTACACGCCCAACACTTGCGTTATTGCGCCCATGGCTCAACTCCAGGATTCTTCTCCTGGAAAGTGCCCAGTCCAGCGCGTGCTGCACTGTTGAGGCCTCTCCTGGTGGCCGCCATGTAACACGAATACTGGTAGGATGGGTCGCAGATCAACTTCCCGACTTGTGCAGATGTCAGGCTCAAGAATCTTCATCTATACATGGCTGTCGATAGACCAGCGGTGGGTGGAACAAATCCTGCAGGACCCACAGAACATGTTCACTGGCTCACTCTCCTCGCCCTCTAAATGTCAATGTCGATGCGGCATGTGCTTTTCGAGAGCTGATTGACATCAATATTAAGATTCAGGGGATGGGTGGCGGCAGAAAACCGATGCAGTGTTTCGTCCATCAACAGAATGACCAAGGCTGCTGACCAATTGAGCCCACTGGAGCTTGGATCGTCCAAGCGGCACTCTCGCGCTGGCTGGTAGGTCCTAAGCTACGGAATGGCTGCTTGACAGCACGTGGCGTGCGACCTGTGCTGCATCTACCAGACTTAAGGTAATTGCGGTAGCGAAACGAGGGCACTCAAGGGAGAGCACAGGGCCAGATGCTAGACCAAGTTGCAGCACTAGCACAGCATTAGGCGAAGGCAACAGGCGCAGCTCCAACTGCAGCTTGCATCTGGCTTGAGAAAGGAGGTTTTGAAGGGCTCTTTAATTAAGGGCAGACCTTGGCTCTCTCCAGCAAAGCATGGTGCATGCCCGCAGCTTCTTATATTTGAAGGGGCTGCGTGCTGCTGCGCATCTTTGGCCCCCTGCAGCCACAGCAGGGACGCAGCTTTGGAGTAGGTTGGCGATTGCCTCAGCTGCAAGGTCTGTCTTGAGCCGCACAAATGCGTGGTACGTGCTGCAGTGCTTTCCTCTTTTCATGCCATGCAGCACATTGGAGCTGGTCATATGAGCATACGCACAGCATGCGGGTGGGATGCTGTCCTCGCAATTCTGAGCCAGTTGCGGCAGCAATCTCTGTCTGATTTCTGCCTGTGTGGGCTTCGCTTCTGGCCAGTCGAAGCAACTTGAAGGTTATGTATGCTTCGCTTGTGGACTCCAAACAGCCAGTCAGCAAAGAGACTCGCAGTGCTTGCAGCATGTGGACCGCATGATGTCCTCCCTAATATCATCAGTGCAATGGCAAACTCATCAGTTTTTTCGGACAGCCGCTTGCCGCAGTACTTGGATATTGCAGTCAGCAAGCAGAAGCGAGGCGCTGTCACCGGTATGCTTGCGAACTAGAGAAGGGCTCTGCCCACGCCATTCGCAAGAGTAGCCACATGCTAGCAGCACAACAGCAAGCGTGACCCTGTGCAAGCTTGCACCCCAAGACTAAGCACCAGCAACGCACAGACTTCGCACTGAAGTACACGCAACCCCTACCGCAGGGGATCGGCACTGAATGAACAATCGACATGGCCGCTGCTACGACTGCTGCGCTGTCAAAGCTGGAAGCACAGGACTAACATGAGTCAGTCTTTGTCAGATGAATCACAGCCGCATCGCGCCGGATGTAGCCGCAGGTGCCATCCTGACAGAAACATCAGCTCCAGTTGCACGTGACGTGCTGGGCTTTCCTGACTTCAACGCCGTCATGCACGAAAGCACACTCTGCGAAACAAGCATGCGGTCACCACCTTCATGGACCTTTTCTGACGAGTCAAAGCCCGTGCTCTGCATAGTGCAGCTGTAGCCAAGGCTCAAACACTGTCTTCGGGTCCAGATGGTAAGCCGAAACCCAGACTGTTTCTCAAGAGCTCGAAAAACATCTGGACCCATGTACCTCCTTACACTGTATGTTCGGGCAGCTGCAGAGGAGCAATGTGCGCACCCGCGGTTTGTCATTAAACATACCGAGGTGCACAAGTTGCCAGCGCCCAGAAAAATGGAAACGGAGCTCTCCAAAAGAGACCCACGTGCTTGCACAAGCCTCGCCAAACTCCGAGTCGGAAGCAAGTCTCGCCCTGCACTTACGTAGCTTCACACAGCGTGCTGAAATCGCATTGGCGATGACCGCTGACTCATCGCAGTTCATCTTAGGTGTGCAGAGAGGGCAGTGCCGAGAGACTTGCCTCTGGAAGGTGGATCTGACACAGTTGTGTCAGCTGCAAAAGGAAGGCTCTTTGTGATTGTGGCGCTGTGTGAAGGTGCAGCTTGCAGCCAATCCGGCACTCAAATGCTGCACTCCGTCTTAATTTGCTGCTCGTGGAGCAATGGGCATAGAGTGAGACTCATCGGCCTGCTGTTGCCGACCACGGTACTGTAGGTGGAAAGGGCATACCAGCACTCTCGCTGGCCGCTGGCTATGCCGGGGACACGGGCGTTTACACGTCCGTGCCAGACCTTGGAAGTACGCCTTCACCAAGGGCCGGCTCTGGCGATCGCTTTTGCGAAAAGCAAACTCTCCGAGCCGTGGCGACCGTGGCTGCCACAATGCACAGCAGACTGAGGAGGAAGGCGGTAATGCGAACTGCGCTGATCACGTACTGTGGCCAGTCAAAGTAGTTCCAACGCACAGTCGCATCCTGATGCCAAGTAGCGGCTGCATGAGTAGAGGAAAGGCTGAGCTCAGAACAACGGGACTGGGTTTCAAGACACCAGGTGTGACCACTTCAGTCAAGAGACGCGCAGCTTCTCCGCGTCCGTCAACTCCGAGACCATGCCGAGCAATGCCCAGCAGCCCACAAGTGCGATGATGGGATCGGCTTTGGGGCTGGCGAAGGTGAACACTGTGACAATCACAGCTATGCCAGCGAAGCAGAACATGGCCAGTGCCAGCATCACTTCCGGAGGACCCTTGTAGTAGTCTGCAACCACGCAAATGTTCAAAGAAGTGGCCGCCACAATCCAGCCACAGTGGAGCGAGAAAGGTGCGCGCAGAAGCCAATATTCGGAGGTGGACATCTCTTCAAGGAAATCCAGTCGCAAAATGCCCACCATGAGTGAGATCAGGATGCCTGCCATGCAGGTCATGGCCCCAATCATGATCTCCTGCGCGAAGAAGAGAGTCCAAGCACACTGGAAGAGGCACGCGCTCAGCCACCACGGGGTTATGGTTTTCACCAACATGCTCCCACGATAGGACGGGAACATTTGCGCCACAGCGAAGACGCCCTCCCAAATGAAGATGGGGCCCCAAATGGAGAAAGCAAATCCTGAGTACAATGCTCAAAGCAGTTCTGATCCTTGCAACAGACTTAGCTCGCTCATTCTGTTGGCCCTAAACCCGACCTGATGGCGTGATGAGAGTGTGGTACTTGGCGCTCAGGCTGCTGTTTGTTGGCCCAAAGGCCCCGGTCAAGGATCCATAGGTGATGCCCAAGTTCACCTGGGAAAGCTGCATGCGAAAACTGCTGCTGTGCTGCGCTGTGCGCTCTGCCTCCTCAGGCACTATTCGGTTCACTCGGCCGGGTCGCAAGGAAAGCTGCCAGATTCAGCAGGTTCAACATGCAGCCTCCCTCTCCGGCTTTTCCCATCTTACTCGCGAAGATGCGACACAATCCGCTACGAGCTACTGCTGAGCCAGAATCTTCAGCATCAGCTGTTTGGACTTGCGATCCAATAGCGTCTGCTAGACGTGTGTCTATTTTTGCCTCCCACCTAGCTACAACAAAGCCCGCACTGAAGGGTACAGCACGTCTATGATGTCTCGGCCTTTCAAGGCATTTACTTGCTCATGTGAATGTGCAGATGCTCGGGCCGTGGCCGTAGATTGGTCGCATCTGGACACCCAGTCGCTGCTAGAGGCCGTGGGGCTGAGATCGCACAACGTTATGGATCGTCAGGCAGAAACCTTACCGCGAAACATGCACAAATGTGGCTCCACTGTGGGTTAGCTTCGTCAAAGGAAGCGCGAATCGGCAAGTCCTCGCTCACAACTTGACCGCTCGAATTATGTCAGCTGCAGATAGGGCTTGAGCAGACCCACACGTCTTGCGTGCTTAGTTCAAAATTCACCCAACGGGACGCACTGAACAGCTGAAGCGGGCGACGACCTTCAAGGCCCAGCGGCAATGGAGCAAAGGCTGTCTGGACGAACTTCGTCTTCTTTCCAGGAGTCGATATCCGAGGTCCGCTGTGAAAGGATGGGGAAGGCATGGGCGCTCTCAAGCTTCTTGAGAGCATGGTAGGACCTGCCTGGAGCATGTCTCAAACTGCACACCACTGCCATTATTGAACAGCTGGCGGCACCGATGCCACCCCTCCGCCCACCTCATAATCCATTCAGCCAGTCAGAAATCGCCTCAACCGGCTGAGGGGGATGTAGATTTCTCGCACACTTTCCTGCAACAGTCGGATGTCAGCGCCGGCTTCTGTCTCAGGGTCTCAGAGAAGGCTTTACAGACTGGCAAATCCTGTCCGTGTCTCGGCTATGCTGCCCTACTTTCACCTTGTCAATCCGCTGGACGGAGCTTTCATCTCCGACGGGCAGTGTCCTGGAGCATGCAACTTGTGGCACGCTGTGCCAACCAACACAACTATCTCCAGCTTCTGCAGTCTGGGCGATACCTGGCTGGATGAAACATGCGCTCGCATGCATGCCTGAACGGCATCCTCCCTATTGCAAACCAGTGCTAAGCCGAAGGTCATGAAGCGACCAAGTAAGCCGCCAGGAATTTCCACGCCACTCAGGGTTCCACCATACCTGCAAGCTCTGAACATGCACGGAGCTAGGAGACGAAACTAGATAGAGCTTCTGGCGGCTTTGTCTGCATCCTCTGCTGCCAGCAAACGGTCACGGAATTCCCCGACGGGGCATCGTTCCCCGTGGTCTGGAGTGGGAGGCTAGGTGGGTGTCTGAAGCAGTGCACAATCTGAACGCTGCTCATGGCCAAGACCGCACACTCGCTTCAAGGACACCCATCCAGAACCTTCTAGGACCCTGATTCGAGGGCACGTGCTAACGCTCAAAAGTACGCCTTGTGGCAAAAACCACTTCGCGGGGAGTTTGCGGAGTACTTTCTTGCGACCAAGCTTTAAACTAAGTTGCTGCCATGTGAAAATGTCCCGTGCCGAGCACCTTCAAAATGATAGGAAGGATGAGGAGTGTCGACAGATGAGAATTGGAACCCGAACATAACATTCTAGTAACTATGGTTCAAGCGATGTGGCGGCAAAGGCAGCATACCAGCGAGGCATTTGTAGCCGCACTAAAGACTGGGCAGACCAAGAGAGTCTTAAACAGCCACTCAATCCGGGACAGCCCGACAGCCCACACTGTCCGACGCAGCAGGAGCGAAAGAATCTTCAGGCGACGTCCAGCGGGGCCTCTACGTACAAGAGATGTTCTTCGGCTTCTGTCACTGGCAAGTGATGTTGAAACCACAACCTCCTCACTGCGAAGGTCATCACCAGCATGCCGGCTGCAAGGATGCCGGCTCCTACCAGCAACGGCTTCTTGCCGACCGGGATGGTGGCGAGCATAGCGGGTCCATGGGCATTTTCGTTTCCGGCATTGGCCCGCACTGAGCTTTGCTCTTCGGCTTCGTCCGCCAACTCTTGGCGTAAGCGCTGCTTTTCTGTCTCGAGCTCCTTCTTCAAGTGCGCACGCTCGGAGGCCAACTCAGAATTCAGGCGCTGAATCTGCTGCTCCTGGTCCTCCGCGGTAAGCTCCGCCAGGCCCGAGACCGTTTGCCTTGCTGCTAGGCCTAGGCCTAGGCTTCTGGCGGCCTCGGCTCTCTTTGTCTCTGCGTCGGCGAACTGCTCATCGCCTCTGAGACTTTCTGGGTAAGGCCCCACGTACTTCTCGTAGTCACCCCCGGCCGCTCCAAAGCCTTGAGAGTGCATGGCAAAGTCCAGGTAACCCACGAAGCCAGCTTTGTCACTGCCGGAGGTGCTGACCTCCTTCCCTGCAAAGCTCACTTGCGGATGTTCGGCCCCTGAAGGCTTCTCCGAATCTCCAGCGGGCAAGGGCTCTCCCAAGATGCGACGGTATCTCGCTATGAGGTTCTCGTAGCCCCCACTGCGTGCACCTTTGCCATATTGATCCACATTGGCCATGCTGTCTTGAAGATACGCTGGGTAGCTGGAGCCTTTGTCATCGCCACCTTCTATGTAGTGCTGGTATGGTGCAGCATGCGCACTCAGAAGCCTTTCATAATCTCCTTGGGCTGAAGACAAGGCCGGCACGAGCAGCCCAGTCAGCACCAGCATGGCCATGGGTTTATGTACAGGGAAGGACTTGGCTTGGAGCTTCGCGCGCTTATCTTGAGCCAAAGGCGATCACAGCCTTCAAAGGGCCAAATGTCCACAAGCTTGCCCACTGAAAGTGCCACAAGTTCCTGAGTCCGACTCAGTCCATCACTCCGTCGTGTCCATGCGAAGCAAAAGATCTTCGTTTTCTCGTAGGCAATGAGGCTTGCCCAGGACATACTTTTGCTCTGCGAGCTGGGTGTAGACCATTATCGCAGACACATGCAAATCTTTGGGGGCATACCTCAGTTGAAGCTTTATGGGCCGTGACCATGCGTCCTACGTGCAACAAAACTCTGCTCAGTGCCGGATCCATCATTTCTCAAGCACCGGTCAGTAGTGCAGCAAGGCTGCAGCCTGGACTTGCCCAGCAGCAGGAGCCTGCTTCTGCGCGAGAGGCGCAAGGAACGCACCGTCTCGTTGCCTGGAAGGACCTGTGCGCAGAGATCCAATCCTACAGAGATCAATAAATCCTTTGCCACCGCTCGGAAAGAGGGAGAGATCCCAAAGCTATACACTGTATGCACTCAAACTCAAATCTCGAGCGCGCAAAAGGGGGACGAGTCGTTGCCAGACCGGGGGGTTCCAAACCGAACTCCTGGAGCCACTCCCTGTCCAGGCCTTGCCGCTCGCCACATCCAACAACACAGAGCCTGTGCCACGCTGGGGCAAGAGAACCAAGAGCTGCGCCGCACCTTAGGTCATGAACGACCCGCTTCTCGGACGGAGTTTGAGCTGCACCCAGCCAAACAAGCACTCCTGATGGTAGCATGTGCGCTGCCACGACTAGCTTGCCAGCACAGTTTCGGCTTCTGCTAACTGCTAAACGTCCTGAGATGCTGAGGAGGGGGCGGCCCTTGAGGTCCTCAACGACCTCCATAGTTCAGCGCTCACAACTCGGACAACTCCAGGCGAGGCATGTGTTTGCAGGTCGGATGAGGTGAAGTCCAGATGCATTGACGCAAAGCAAAACACAGATGGGTATAACAAGCATGGTTCAACATTCCCTGGCCGACTTCCGGTGCGTCGCTCGTCTGCAAAACACCGGGTGCTGGGCAGTGTCTCCAGAGACTTCGACGCTGGCACTCCCATCGCTCATGGAAGAAATCGTCAAAGCGATGACACCCTCATAATCCTCCTCGGGCTCGCAGGCCTGGAGCAGGTATCAGGCAAAACGAAGTTCTTTTAACAAAGCGCGAGGGCACACACGAGCGCTCGCGATGGTACCGATACCGATGGGCCAACCTATACGGCCTGGTCAAGAAGCAAGCCTCCAATATCCTTTAATCAATGCAAGCAGCCGGAGCGACGTCGATCTCCGAACCTTGGCAATGCTGCGTTCAACGTGGAGGATCTCTGGCTCTCCTGCCACAAGAAAGGGCAGCGCCTGGGCCGAGTGGGCCAAGCAGGTTCTCCAGGACGCTGCGCGGCTCTTGCTTGGAATGAGCTGCACTCGGAGTACTTGTAGTGCCTCACACGACTCACAGGATGGCGCAAAATGCACGCCGTGTCGCAGAGTGCGTGAGGTCTGGTGAATCTGGTGTGTGACGCACATCGCGCCTGCAGTTTTGCCCTCTTCCTCGGGCGATCCAACCCCGAGCGAAAGGCTGAGCAGGGGATGGAGAGCCATTCAAACAAGGACCGCCCTTCACTTTGGCTGATTGCTCGTGGTGGGACTCATGTTGCGTGGGTCTGATGACGACTTTTTATATGCAGTGCGCAACAACACACTTGGACCATCCCCACTGCAATGCCTGCTCCAACTCACTGTGTACTTCTCTTCCCGTGTCTGCTATTGCTGAGCCAGCTGCAGTCAGCACGCAGCAGGTGCCCGAACTTGAATCTGACGCATGGCGCAGGTCTTCGCCGCTCCGCTCAGGAGGCATGCAACAAGTTCTCAGCTTACAGTGCTTTGAGGAACTTCCTGGCGGAAGATCTGAACCGACCTTCTGGCAAGTCCTCTAGGACCCTGGCGCAGGTGCACGCCCAATTTTTGTCGACCAAGCATGTGGTATGGAGTACAAGGCCAGCCAACATCAACGGATGCAGGCACTAACATGATCCACTCAAGAGAGCCGTATGACTCACTGGACATATGAAGAAGCCGCCTCATGTTAGCCTGGCGTTTAATCGAAGGTCCGAGTGTCAGCAGCATTGAAGCATGACAGTCAACTCACAAGTGGTAAGGCCGAAGCCCACTACAAAAGGATTCGTAGCAGTTTCTGCGCAGTTGTGATTTAGATGCAGCTCATGACTACGAAGGGCTGCAAAGAAAACTTGACGAGGCATCGCCGACCCTCACTATTCGCTGAACATGCCTTCACCCTGCATCCGGTCCCAATTGGGCTTATTGCTGATATTGGCTGGTTTCCTTCTCCTCAACTGCTTAGCTGCAGCAGACGACGTCTGTACAAGGACATGCATCGCAGGGCAAAGCGGTGGGACACTTCAATCTCCCAAGTCTATGCATGTTCGACACAGAACAGACCCAGTCCCAGAGCGTACAAGGGTCTACTGTACTACAGTGTTGCATGCTTGGCTTACTGAGGTCAAGCGAGTTCATAACATCATATAATTATAATAACATCCTCCACAGCAAGGGCCTGACAATTTACATGCCATGGTGGGGAGTGGGAATACTGCCCGAATCTGCAGAGAGGAGCTGAGCCTCCCGCCGTTTACACAGCCTGACCTGTACCAAGACAAGAGGCGCATTCCCCCGCGACGCAGTCAGCGGATTTCGGCGATTTGGAGCCGTGGGCAGACAGGGGTTTGTGAATATCTTTCACTGAAGGGCAGCTGGCCAGAACGCATCTGGCCTCTACCTGACCGCTCTACTCGCCAAGCAGGGCATGGATCATGGTGGATCCAAGTAAGCTTTTGTGGACCAGAGAACTGCCCTGCGGGAGGTAAGAGTGGCAATCGCTGCGATGGTGGCCTGGGCTTCCATCTACATTGAATCGATTTCTGCTTAGTGCCTTCTGGGTCCTGCATCAACTAGTGTAGAGGTGGAAGGAGCTTGGCCTGAGAGGACGGCCAGCATCTACGGGCGAACTGGGCATCTAAGCCGGCAAGGCCTGTCTCGGCTTGTCGTAATGGATACAGCTATACAAGTACTTGTGGCAGCTACGAGTTCCCTTAGGTCGGAAGAGTTCCTGAAGGTCATGCTCGAGACGATTCCTTGCCTGCAACCTCCGATCAACATAAAACTGTACAGACGCCGGTCTTGAAGACAACCGCATTTCCAGGAAAGCTACGTTGAAAACTTGGCCTTCCATGGGCTACATCCATTCTTCCCCTTGCCGGTCGGGCTGCCTCAAAGGTCAACATGCGGCGAATCCATGCTCACTGCCATGGCTCAGGAAACAAGGCAAAGCCGTAAAGGCATCGCGAGCTGGCCGTAACTTCCGAGCTTGCGGCGACTCATTGCTGTAGGCAGGCGAGCTTGAGTTGCCTGCCAGCAAGCAGCAAGCGTTTCTGCATGGAGCCTCACACATCGATATCGCGCAAGTCTGAACCGCAGCTGGGGACCCCGGCCTCCGAAAAGCCTGCAGACGGCAGTGTGAATAACCACGCACGGACTCCCTGTCTCGTTATTACTAGTGTCTAATCATACTTTCTTAGACATAGCCTTTACGCATAAAGCTGTAGCAGGCATTGTTATAGGTTATATTGCCAAAGAGCAGGAGAACACTTTTCACTGACTCCGGGTCAGGTTTCCCCAAGCGGATCGGCAGCTCCAGGTTCCCAACCTAAACGCTGCAAACAGACGCGGTTCACACGCCTGGGCGAAGACGTTGACTAAAAAACAGTCTTAGAGTCATAGAGCCTCACTTCTGAGCCTTCGCGCCGGGGTCAGGCGTCAGGCATCGGAGACCTAAGAGAGCCTTGGCCGACTGCTGGAGTGCCTCCTTTAGGCTGTCACGGCAGACGGCCAGCACTACGAGCTCTTCTGTGGCCCCCTGAGCTCCTTTCCTGCCTTTGCCCCGTCCTTTTCCCTTTCCTCGTGGCTTTTGTAGGCTCAGGAGCCCACGCTGCTCCAAGGAAGAGAGCGCCGAAAGCACTTGCGGCTTAGGTGTCGGAGACTGCTTGAGTTCAGACAGGCAGTCCAGGTACCTCTGAAAGATCTCCGACGTAAGGACAGGCTCCTCCACGCTGGACAATGCACAAAGCAGAAGCTGCTGTGGTAATGGAAGACTTTTTAGCGAGTCCAAGGGATCCAGACTCGTTTGCATGGCCGCCATCTTCGACATTGACTGCACGCCGCCGGGTTTGGATTCCGCGCTTGCTTCTGCTTTGCCTTCTTCTTGCCTCATCTCCTCTGCTTTTGCGAGTCCGTCGTCGCAAAGCCTGACGATGTGTCGGCAGTCTCCAGCATTCGCCAAGCGCCGGATGCGCAGTTCCAGCCCGGCTCGGCCCCCGAGCGCCTTCTCGGCCAGCTCGCCGTCTGCGGCTGCTGCGAAGCGGCTTTGCACAATGTTCTTGAACTGCTGCAATGTGTAGCGCTCGAAGAGAACGGAAGAACAAACGCTCTTCCATCTGGGGCCACAGGCTTGGACAAGCAAGTCCACATGGTTCGCGATCATGATGATCGCCAAGGCTGGGGCCTCGCTATGCCTCGGGAGGTCACACAGAATCTCCAAGGATGTGTCGCCTGCATTCCACTTCTTCACCAGCTGATCTACCTCGTCAATGATCAAGATGGCAGATTTGCCAAGGCTACGCAAGCTCGAGGCAGCTGAAGCCACAAGGCTGGACAGTGGGCTCCGGGAGCTCAAAGTGGACTGCTTCTTTCCTGTAGCCAAACTACAGGCCTGACCAGCTTTCAAGAGAAAGCCCGGGACGGAGCATGGCCGGAGGTTCTCCATGCAATTAATTTCCAGAACTCGGGTGTCTGGATGTTCCCGGAGCCAAGCCTTAGACGCTGCCCTTGCCACAGAAGTCTTTCCAGTCCCCGGTCCACCACTCAGGTAGATGCAGCTGCCGGCTGCCGATTCCAAGCAGGCTTTCAGGAACTCATCCAACAAGCCACACTCACGCTCACGAGAAACCAGCGGATAGACTTCCTCCTCCCAGGCCTCTAGCATGATCTCTGCAGCTGTGGGATGCCCATGGCGTGCTCGCTTGGCCTCCGTCGGCCGTGCCGTCTTTTCTGGGCTGTCGTGCTCGACCGCTCGCTTTTTGAATCGGCTCTTTTTTTGCGGGGTGATCGGTTCCCCGGGCCCAAAGTCTTGGGGCTTTCCAAGCTCCATGTTCTCATCGTCCTCGCAGGGCGGGGCCATCATAGGCTGCGCCGTCATAGCTCGCACAAAAAAACTGGGAGACGACTCAACGTTTTTCTGAAGCTTGGCTCAATGCGGTATCTGCATGTCTGTGCGATAGACTGCTCCTACAATCAATGTGCACTGAGCCATGCTATGCCTGCTACGTGTGCGGAGCATCGGGATCAACTAGCATAGCTGTCTTGCTTGACTTCCACCCCTGTGGGCAGTCTGGCACCCTACAGTCGTCCTGAGCCATGAAAATCAGGGATCATTAGATCCACACACACACACACAGACAGACAGACAGACAGACAGACAGACAGACAGACAGACAGACACAGACACCCGTACAAATCAAAGTGCCAGTGCGCTGTCCGGTGCATGCAGCAAAGCCTACAAACTAACCACGCCCATGTCTCTCAGTTTGTCTGTCTGACAAATAGACTGCGGCATGCAACTTTCGCACTTGCCGTCGGCTTCGGCGAGGCTTCAGTTCCCAACTCCCACGAGACCCTGAAAGCTTGCTGCCTGGATATCCAAAAGTAAAGCCTGGATCTGCACGACCCGATCCACGACTTCGCAAGCTTCGCAAGCCCGCAAAGCCGTGGATTGAGCGATGACATCCACCTCCAAACTGCCAGAGCCCAGCTCTGAGAGCAGGAAAATAGCATGCTGCCAGCAACCTCCCTTCTCACAGGCGCTGATCACAGCATGGTATGCAATCTCGTCTGCCCCCAAGTGGCTCGCGAGCAGTTGCCCGAAAATCAAAACTGCAAACTGCCATTTCCGGCCCTTCTCACAGGCACTTACAGCAGCACTGTAAGTTATTCTGTTAGGCTGCAGTTCCGTCCTGAAGACATCTGCCAACAACACCAGGGCCTGTTCCCACTCCCCACCCTTCTCACAGGCGCTTATCGCTGCACTGTACGTAACCTCATTCGGGCTGAAACTGCGCTGCTGCAAATCTACTAACAAAGAGAGTGAATGCTGCCACGGCAGCCCCTCCTGCCACTGCGAAGCTTTCTCACAAGCACTTATCGCAACGTTGAAGTCTTGCAACTCACATGGCATGTCTTTCTGAAGCATCTCTGCCAGAAGAAACAGGGCCAGTTGCCACTGGGCACTGGTCTCACACGCGCTGATGACAGCATTGTACGCCACACGATTTGGGGCCAGATGTTGCTGTGCCAAGCACATGAATAGTGACAATGCCATCTCCCACTGCTCACCACTGCCGCAAGCACTAATGGCGGCACTGTAGATGATGATGTCGACAGGCAGGCCCTGCGCGAAGACATCATCCAGAAAGTACAGTGCTATTTGCCACTGTCCCTTTGCGCAGGAGCTGATGGCCGCGCTGTATGAAACAAGATCAGCCTTTAAGCTCCGACTCTTGAGTGCTAGAAGCAAACCCAAGGCTTGTTGCCATTGGTCGCCCTTCTCACATGCACTGATGGCTGTATTCTGAATGATCAAGTCTGCTTGCAGTCTCTGCTGGCCAAGCTCCCCCAGCAAAGCTAGCGCATACTGCCAAACCTCGCACCGCACGCAAGCACTCATTGCTGCGCTGTAGCCTGAGATCACGCGGCAAGCTCAATCAGTGTTGCTACACTTGCTTTCATACAGTTCATGGGGCTAAACGACGCATCGCCAAGCTGCCCGCTAAAGATTTATGTTCTCAGTGTTGGCGATTTGGCTGCATCAGCGAACCACTTCAGTTGCTGTGCATGTGGCAGGCTATTTATTTGTACAGCTATCTGCTGTGATTGCAGGACTGGCCACTGATAACATCTGCTTCCTTCTGCCGGCCCAGCCGTGCCAGCACTACCAAGGCTTGCTCCCACTGCTGCCCCCGTTCGCAGCAGCTGATTGCTGCGTTGTGCACAACCTGGGCCAGAACAAGTCGTCGTAGGTAGTGGGCAGCGGCAGCAGGTAGCGGCGGTAGCAGCAGCAGCAGCAGCGCGAGAGGTAGTGGTGGGTTGCAGCCCTGCTACTGCTACTGCCACCCTCCCCGCGAAAACGGCGACGACGACTTGACGACTACCACTATCACGAGAAAGGCCGCCACCACAAATTACCACTGCCGCTCACTACGAGTCGTCTTGTAACAGTAGCGGCTGAACTACTACTACCTCGTCTGAGTCCGCTGCCACCCGGCCTCGGCCTGTACCACCCTGATCAGCGCTGGCTACTACAACTGGGTGTCTCCGAACTCGCAAGGTGGTCTATGTGTCCGTTGCCAGCATGCCCCGTGCCTCAAATCTGTTGAACAAGTCCAGGCCGTGTTGCCACTTGCTGGCCTGCGGTGGGCATCAATCCCCGACAGACATGTCACGCCGCAAGAGCCGTGTCACTCGTTGAGATTGCCGCTGCTTCTTCGCCGCTGTCTAAACTGAGACTTGTCTACGGTGGAAGGTGGAAAGTCGCAAGCAATGTATTGTGCAGGGATGAGGCCTTGCCACAGGCATTGATAACGATGCTGAAGCTCCTGACTGCTCCACGTTGAAAACAAGTAAAGTGACGCTCAAGGCTCAAGGCATTTTAAGCCGACTCTGATCGCAGGGTTCAGTGCAAGTGGTACGTGTCTTCAGTGCATGTATGCATTCTGGCAGCATCATGTTCAGAACCACTCCTGCCAACATAGACGGTCAATCATGCGCCGGGTGAACTCCATGTCGCCCACAGTCCCGCAACATCGCAAATTGCATCGGCTGCAAGCCGTGCGCATTACTGACAGTCCCGATGCTTGCACACTTGTCCCAAACCAAACGTTGCATCCGACATCGTGGTTGTGATCTCTGTCTGGAGCTGCAGATGTTCCGACTGCCCCAAAAGCCTGTAATTGAGTTCGCTTCAACACTTGTTCGTAAGCTGTGAACAAGCAATCAATACCGCCCACATTCTCGGGCTTCCCGATACCCGACACTCGAAGTTTCACGGCCTTGGAGTTTCGATTGGCGCCCTTACGATGTTTCCTTGCTTCGTGCGACGCCTGCAAATTACCGGAGGTCGGGGTGGTTCCGTGTTGTGTCGGGACCTTGCAGTCCAGGCATGCATGCCGGCATTGATGTTTTGGGTAGTCCGTATGGACTGCATTCTCAAAACGAGAAGTATTCGGTGGTGGGCATAGCATGCTGCTCCAGTCCAGTCCTGTCTGTTACGAGCCCGCGGTGCCCAATCTCGTCAAAGAGGTCCAGACATGCTTCCCACTTCTTGGCCTCGGGATTGGATTTAGGCCGCCGGATTTGCTGGGCGGTCGCGTCGGTCTATGTCAAGTCCGTTCTTGTTCTCAACAATCACGAGCTGGCCTGAGCCCTGAACCAAGCACCAGCAAAAACTGACTCTCCACCGCAGCCAGGCTAGAAAAGTCCGGACTCTATTCGTACAACGGCTACAAGTATGAAGCACTGAGTCGACACACCTTGTAGACTTGGGCTTCAGAGTGGCTGGTGCAAGGTCAGGGAGCTACCATATTTTCTGCAATACGACACAAGCATGCGACCAAGGCCTTGCATGGCATGGTGGTGTTTTGTGAACAACCTCTGGCGGCTCTGCCACCCGGAATGGATGCATGTAGTCGGGTGGGGCACATGTTCAACAATTCCAGAAGCTTCCCGCGTCTCAGCTGCATCGGGAAGCTGAGCGTCCGCACATGTTGCGAGAGGTTTGACGACTTCTTCTAGTGGGAAGGATGCGGGCCATCATCAAACTCTGTTTGCATTAAGGTTTTCACGTCTTCCATGCTCAGCACACAAAGCACGACTATGGATGTCTAGTCAATGTGTATGTCGAGAAGCCCTACCGCAGGCATTCAGAACGGCACCAGTGGTTTGGATCGATGCGAGGAAATGGTTGCACCACATCTGGTGTAGGAGGCAGGAAGCCGCGTCCTTAGATGAAATGAAGGATCCACGAACATTTTGACTTCCGGGGTTGGCTCGTGCTAGTGACTAGTGCTCTGCAAGCGTCCCATCTTCGAGCATCCGCATGCCTCTTCACAGCAGCAGCATACCTGATACCAGTCGGGACGGAGGTGGAGTGGAGCATGTACAGGCCAGGAACTTATCTGTCCAGCAACCTTGGGCTGTTCAAGGTAACCGGGGAAAGGCTAAAGACTACTGTTGCCCTCTGGACACCGAAAAAAAACAAATACAAGGCATGACGGGATCCTAGGGTGCTTGCCCGGCTGCTGCATTGGGCTCGTGGCTGTCGACTCTCGTTCTGGAAGCGCTGCCATCGATCGTGTGGGAAGCGCAGGTTCCCTACAGTTGCCAAGCCTTTGCCACCACAAGTCAAGCCACACTACACAGTCGTCTTCAGAACCTTTATCAATTTATTAACAACCAAACGAAGAGCCATTTGTGTGGGTCGTAGCTGCAAAAATCGGGACATAGACTTCAAGCATTTGGCTGCGGACTCTGAAGCTTGCAGAGCCAAAGTCATCGACGTGCTGCTTGAGCCCATGCTCAACTACTTACTAGCTCAAGTGCCATCCACGCCTCCACCACACCCGGTCTTTGTATCCTGCGCACCAGGCAATCGTACTTCAGCCGGTTCAAGAGGCATGATATAACGGTAGTTGTACGTACAGTCTGCCTCAGCTTAGACATGAATTGAGGATTGAGGCAACGATACCAGTCATCGGAACTCGACTTCTCGGAAGGCCTGGTGCTTTTCTAGCTTCCGGGCCCCGTTGCCAGATAGGCTTTACCTGGCGTGACAAGAGTCAACCCTGCATCATTCTGCTACATTCTAACACGAAGACATTGCCACAGTGTGCGTGTGGTGTCTAGCTGCAGTGCATGGCCGTGCTTTTTGCTTCGTCCTGGCCTGGCGCAAGCGACGGTCCTCGGGAAGCTCTGTACAGTGATGGCAACAGCCCTATGTAGCCCTCTCACGCTGAAACCAGCTCAAATCGAACCCCCCGAGCCCGGGATCCGTGCGGAGTGCTGCACCAAGGAGCTCAAGCCTCCGACAGCCAGAGATAGCCCAATTCAATGAACTCACAATAAACTCAGCTTAGCTCAGTCGGCAGTAGACACCGGAGACTCCAAGGGATCCATCAATCTCCTCACGTCTCCTGTGCCTCCTGGGACCGAGGATGCCAACGCAGCGCTTGGGCGGCTGCAGAAGTCCCAGCGCCAGCCTCGGAAGAAGCCGTGAATTGTGTCAACCCTTCGCAGCTGCTTCTGATTGGGCAAGAGGTGGTGGAGTCCCATCCATAAGAGGCACCTCTCTGATTCTGTAGACGTTTAAACTCATGGGAGTATACGAAGTATTTCCAGGAAGTTGCTGTACCCGTCGCATACATTCCCTGTGTGGTGAGCGCTGACCTCCCGAACCCTTGTTAAGGGATGCGCCTACTGCGCCTACTCTGATGCGGTTGAGCTGATGGCAGTACGAAGCCGTGGCCCTCAGAGCTGGGCGATGGCGAAACCCAAGTTAAACACTGACAAAAGGCACACCAAAAGCAGCCATATACACGCACAGACTCGTGAACCGAACGATGCACCACTTCAAGAATGAGTTCTTACGTCCTGGGGCTAAAATGCCGCGCTTGGGTGAAACTCTGCGCTGAACAGGTCTGTGGCTTCTGTACCAGCAGCTTGAACATGTCGCTAGCTCGACGAGAGCAAGCAGAACAAATACATGCCTAAACATTGCTCGTTCTACCAATGTTTGACCAAAGCTCACCAACGAACAAAGATCGGCTTTGCGTTCCTCATCGAGGAGACGGTGTGTACGCAAAGACACAATCCCGCACAAGTTGGGCGGCTTGCCGAAACTCCCGATGCTCACTTGATCCACTTGATGGATCGACAGGCGCGGTGTAACCATACCAGTCCGACTTCGAGGCACCGCGTTCAATGGAAGCTTCTTCGTCTTCCTTCCATTGACCAGCCTCCTGTTGGACGTACACGTCGATCTTGGAAGGTGCGATGGAGCAGCTCTTCTTCCTTTTTCCTTTTCGATCGTTTTCTCCGTAGTCCACTGCATAGACTTTGGTCATCGTTCGGATATGAACGGCAGAATAAGCCAAGCAGAATACTGCATCTACTGACCGCTCTGAAGACTTTGACCACTCCGCGAAAGTTGCGGCGACTGCTTTGGCAAAATCGCTTTAAGCAAGCTCATGGCTAGCGGTGCACGAGCAAAGCCAGCATTGAATTTGCAAGCCTGCGGCTCTTGTGAAGCCGGCAGCGTGTCATAGAGAAGCTGGAAAAAGGCCTTGGTCAGCGCAGCAGGAGCGCATGCTGGACGCTGCGGTGCCGAAGGTTTCAGACCATGTGAAATAAAGAGTTCAAACGTCCAACTTCATCTGGTATTGCGGATTCACAAAGACTGTCGTCTGTGTCGAATGTCCCTCCATCACGCAAAATCTGGATGCCGGGTCTCCACCTCCTTCCATCTGTAGGCTCCATCCACAGAAGTGATTTTGCTGCCGAGCGATCTTCTACATCCTGCATTGTGAAAATCAATTGGTCTCTGTGCTTGGTGGCGTCTCTCGCCAGCTCCTTCACGTTGTCTTTCACTAAGTCAGTTTGAACACTGCGGTCCGGGCCATTGTCGAAATTCAAACGAAGTCGGACAGTGTTCCTTTGCAGGACGATGAACAAAGTGGGGGCAATGCTTGCTGTCAAGCTTGCTCTGCTGGTCTGGAAGAAACTTTCCAGCTGCTCGTTCAAATTGCCCTGCAGCAGCACATGTTGTCCTCCTTCAGATTCCCTGCAACTTCAGTGGCTGCAAGAGTCGTGCAGACCGGCTTCCCAGTGCCAGATTCAGCATGGACTGCTGAAATGCCCGGTGCATCGTCCGATAGCACAGCAGCCATACACTTTTCAATGGATGTACCCCTGACTGGTTTCGAGAGTTTGACATAAAGTTGCTGTCGCCAGCCTGCAACCTCGTGGCAGTTGCTGTTGTCAGAGTTGCTGCATGGGAGTCGATGTCGCCGCTGCGGTCAAAAGCGGTTTCTGTATTCCATTCAAGCCATGCCTTCCCAGCATTGAAGAAAGTGAGGAAGAAGTCCTTAACTTGTTGAAGACCTCCAGCGAAACCAAAGCTGCTTGGACTGACAGGCCTGAAAATGCATCTCTCGCTTGTCCAAAAAAATCGCGGAGCAACACGTCGACGTGCCGTTTCTGGTTTCCTTGCACCGCCGAGCACACCAAAGCCGCCAAAATGTGGTTGCCCTTGCAACACCATCAGGAGCACCACTGCCAGTCTTCTGCGCATGGCCCTTCTGTCTCCAATGCTACTTGCGAACACTGTGTAGCAGCAAAGCATTTCGCAGACTGCTTAATTTCACAGATCGCATAACTCGTTGTAGGGAGTTCTGCGTGTTTGCCAGCAACGCTGACGTTTTGGCACAAACTTTACCTTTCTGAGGCAAATTCTGTAGCCAGTTTGAGGGTTTAGGGTTTGCGGCTTAACCGAATGGCCGAACACCTTTTCTGCATACTTCGGGGGTCCAGGTAGAGTTTTAATTTTAGAGTTTGAGGCATGTGAACCTAGCAAAGCTTGGTTCAGGTGCACGATCCACGAATTTCAGCTTAGGAGGTGGCTGCCGTGCTTGCGTTGATCGCCAGGGCTACCTTGACCAGCTATCCCAAGATAGCCCGAGAATCCCAGCGATGCGAGGCAGCGGGGCAGAACGCAAGAAGGGGGAGAAGAGCGAGCTGAGCATTGACTTCAGTTGACTTGAGTTCGGAATCCAAGCTGAACCTGACAGCACGATCAATCCTTCCATCTTAAGGGGCCGGCAGGCGGCAGCCGGCAGCACCTACCAAACTATCAAGAAGGAAACACGATGTCCAACTGCCAGTGTCTGCACAGCCAGCTCTGTTTCCATGCAGCTTCTTTTTCCGTGGACATCGGAGTTTCACAACATGAAGTAGCCCAGAAAACACTACGCAGCAGGATCCGCATCGGAAGGACCCGTGCTCAACCTTGCTAGTCGACGTCGCATCGGCAGCAGCCTGGCTTGATTCTGATTTAGTGAAGGGCCCACATGTCACCAGATAAAGGTTTTGGGGTATAATATCCGATCAAGCTAATTAATAGGGACTATGAGGGATCCCTATATTGCGGGTCGGCAGATCGTAGTAGTTTGCTTGGCCATACCAGATCTGCCTGGAACGCCCCTTCCTCTTCGCCCATGTCGAGTTGCAGGTTAACGTCCACATCCTTGATGTGCCAGGGACATGGGGAAGAGTCACAGGCCACAGGGGTCGAAGCCTGCCAGGCCCTAGGCTGCTAGGTCCATCTTCCTGTGAGAGCCACATCTTACGCTCTAAGATCGGCACTCGCACGATGCCCGGCAAGGCCTCATCTTCTAAGAGCCAGTTGAAGCTAAGAAGCAAGCCGAGCTGACCCAAGCTTCTACACACCAGTGCAAGACGGGGCTTCTTTGTGCGCCGCTTCAGCCGGCTTGGCATCGCTGTGGTTTGAGAAGTCTCTGGCGTGGTGAGATGGGCATATAGGATGTTATAAGGCACGGCCTGGCCCAGCCCAGGGGCAAAGCAATTTACAATCATAAGCTCCTCACGTGGCAGAAGGATGGCATCTGAGAACAAACATAGGATTCGTTTCAACCACGTATGCTTTGTTCGGTTGAGTGGGTCCTGCCAGTGTCCCAAATCCCTCGGCCACATGGCAGCAACATATGGAAGCTATGAGCACCTGCGCTTCGGCGCATGGGGTCTTAAGCTGCCCCGAGCATGCTCTAAGAATATCTACTTTCGGATTCTAGTGCCTCGAATGAAAATCTACAGAAGCCTACAGCTCCAGGCAAGTGATTGCTGGATAGAGCAGAGCAGCTTTCTCACGGAGGTAGATGCGATAGCGGAGTGGCAGTGAAGCAGCTTCGAGGGCAGCCCCTCGACTCGCAGTCTCTGCTGATCAGGGTTGACCTCGCTCACGGATGAGTTCCGACCACCACTCTCTTTCTCTCACACACACACACCCACACCCACCCACACCCTCGCAGTACTATTTCGCGACTGCCTCTGTTCTGGCTATAGAAGTGCACGATCTGTGCTCTTGGATATGCGATACTGCTCATGTCTTGGGGCTTCTGCCAGTCGAGCAGCGCGTCGCCACGTGACACACTGCCACAGTACCTTTCTACTCCTCCTTGGCTTTGGTCTTTGCCTGACAAGCTGGCGTGCTTCAGGTTCAAGGGGCTTTGACGTGGCGCCGACCACGGTGCTCAGCCTTCTTGGCCGATTTTGTCTTTGCAGAGGACTCCTCGTCCTGGCCGCAGGCGAACATGGCATGATGCTTCCTTGAATCTTACAATATGAAGCTTCAGACCGATGTCAGAATGTCATCCCGGCTTAAAGCGGCACGACTTCGATTTGTCGAAACCCTGAGAAGCCTCAATCCTGATGACAAAAGCGGGCAACTCCTAATCCAGCTGCCTTCCGTTTCTTTCCTGTGGGCGCTCCGGGCGCAGCTCCCGGAACTGGCTCCTTGGCTGCGGCCTCACAGGACATTCTGATCTTGAAATGGGCTTTTGGGGAGATTTCATGCGAACCTTTGAGACTTCTAGGATCTTATAGGTTCTGTGAAGGGTCCATGAGGTTGATTTCGGGCTCTACAAAGCCGCTAAATGCCGCTAACCGCTAACCACGGCCGAACGAATCGAACGAGTCTGATATCTAGGACGGGCAGCGCCGAGATTCCAGGGCCGTGCGTGCAACTGAACCATCGTTCTGCAAACCTCTTTCTTCTCGAGAGCGTCCGGGCACTGTTTTTCTTCTTTCTCGGCTTTGGTGTGGCCAGAAAAAAGCTGTGTCAATAGTATGGGCATTGCTTGCATGAACACCGGATGGGGCCCGAACCTTCGCTTCAGCCAGAAACTCCTCGACGCTGGCCTTCTCCTGTGTACAAGAAAAGCCTTTCCTTTGCTGTAAGTCGTGTAAGCTGTCGTCCTACGGCAGCTGCAGGAACAGCGAGGAGTGAGAATTGGTTTACTGCAGGTCGACTCGATGTTCCAGGCTTCCACGAGTGCAAACACAGTCGCCCCCCTGGTCTCAACTTGTGCTCGTGACCGGCTCCTTCTTGAGTAGGCTATAGGCTTGCCATGCCTTGCGCCAAACAAGGAGTGTGCACTCTCACGCCTTCGGGATGCCAGGACTGCTGGCTGCAAGGATATATGCGAGATCGAAACAACCGTGGAACACACGCCTTCCAAGGTCTTGAAGTCCGGAACGCACAAGAAAAGGCGACGCCTTGTTGAGATTTGCGATCCAGAACGGCCGAGGGCCATCATCTGCACCTCATGAATTACGAAGACTCTCAGAGCTTGGGTACGAGCACAGCGGGTTCAAGCATGCTGGTGAAACCAGCTAAGCCGTCACATAGTCCAGCCAAGGCACCCTCTACCACATGGATGGTGTAGTTGGCTGAGTTCGCACCCTGCTCGACGCGGAAGCAGGCGCAGCTTTCCACCTGAGCAGTCGGCAACACTAGGTCGAGGGTTGACTGTGAGTGAAAAGGTCTTTATCCAACTGCAGGATTTGATGGATCTCTCGAAAACCCTTACGGGCAGCAAGCTTGGCAGCCGGCAAATTTCCGGTATGGCCTCGGCGGGCAGAAGCGCAAAACGTGTCTCTGCAAGAGCTTAGATGAATTGCACGGACGGGACTTCCCACAGACTTACTGGGCCGTGCTGGCAACCTGACTTGCCACACAAATCATTGAACTACTTGAACACAAGCTGTTCAGGAAAATGTGGAGCTTGTACTTAGATTCTTATGGCTTCCGCTGCATGAATAACACAGACCAGATATATATATATATATAGATAGATAGATAGTGCAAGGGGACACTGAAAATGAGAGCGGCATCTGGTGCTCTGCTTGAGTGTCCCCAAACGTGCACTCAATCTACTGGCTTTTGCGCCTGGTGGTATGACCTTCCGCCTTCCGCACTGCCAGATGCTGAGATGCAAGCCCCAGAATTGGCTTCCAGTCTTGGTGCCAGTTGTCTATGATGTAAGGCGCACCTCGCTGCTGCTCCTTTGCAGCGTGTCGTGCCATCGCATCACAGCATCAAAGTGCAGGACTGCTTGTTGGCCTGGTCTTGGCAAGCGACCAAGGCAGCTCAAACACGAAGTGTCCTCGGGGTTCTTTGCGAGGGCCGCCTTGATAAGAGAGATGGCCTTGCTGACTCTGGCTGTGTGGTTGTGCGGTCGCTGAGTGGTTTACCGGGGCTTGCGAACTGCCTTGGGGTTTAGCTCTTCGCATCAGAGCGAACTGTTGGCGTTCAAATTGGTCCAATCGATGGTACTGGAAGCCCTGAATCTGCCGCCTTTTTCGTGGCCTTTTCTCGCTCTTCTGGCGTTGGTGGCGGCCGTGGAGCCGCGCGACCTGAAGGTGGGAACCCTCAGGTTGGATGTGCTGGCTTGTGCGGGCTCAGACAGACGATCTCAGCTGAACCAGAACATGCTGGGGACTTGCTAGGTCGGGGGCAGGCAAATATGGCATATATCAGTAGAGCGCAGATCTGAAGTTACACATGTAGTCGCTAGGAGCGACTGTCATGTCATATCAATCATTAGCCGCTCGCCGCAGACCGCAGACAGCAGCATCCTCTTCACATCCCGGGGCTGTTTTTGTTTGAAGTAGGGCTCTGCTGCTATGCCTGACCCTCCAACCCTGCGCTGATGTCAGGACAGGAAGGCCGATGAAGAACGCCGTCACATGTGGATACCAAGTTTCGGGAATCACATTGACTTCGATGCAAATGTCGTGATCTATGACCTATGAGCATACTGCGGTAAAGACGGTGCACCTGACACCTAAGAGCTCCTGCAAATCTGCATCTGACATGAGACCCGCTCCGACATCAACATATGAGGAATGGCCAAGATTATCGCGCTGTGTAAGCATGGCGCTTGAGAGCTACAAGTTTGATGCCCCTCCACACGGTGCATCGTCTGAAAACTGTATGATCCACCACTCCGACAGACCAGGGTGATAAGTAGCCATGGAACACCATGTCCGACCTACATCCTCAATTCTCTCGTTGATCGGCCTGGCTTTGGCGGATTGTGCTCCGGGCCAGCTTTTGGGGACGCCTGGCCAAGCAGGCGCCCTGACGACTACTAGAGTAGGCTTGCCGGACTGCAAGCACAGATCTCTCGCGGCTATGGACGAACGGCTGAAACAAATGCTAAGACAGGCGCAGATTGCAGCTCAACCGAGATTGAGAGGGAAACAAACATGCCCATGACAGGCCCTGAGCAGACCGATTGGTTATGCACGGACCCTGCCTCTTCGTCATAAAAGAGGCTGTGTATTTGGTGGCTTGAAGTTTTGTGTACGGGCAACATGCCCGCACAACAGAAAACACTGGCATCGAGGAGCGTCACCACATCAGGAGGGCCTAAGACAACAGCAGCCCGATAATCCACGGCCTTGCACTTGGCTTCAGCGTTTGCTGCTTTCTTGTCCTTGCTCTTCTTCGCTGGAGTCGGCTCTGCTGCCGGAGCCGCCTCGCAGGAACCGAACATCCAACATCCTGAAAGCGTGCACATGCTTGGGGTGTCGGTAGTGGCAAGTCACCCAAACCAAGTTGTTTGGAGACATTAGTGGATCTGGAGAAATGCCTCTTGGAACCCCTGTCTCCATGGCACGAGCAGGACAGGCCTTGGGCGACTGCTTGGGCGAAGACGTGGGTGCGGCCTGGCAAGAGGGCGTTTGGCCCTGAGGATGCAGATGTTGTCACTTGCTCGTGGTTGTGATCAACAAATATCAACAATATTACCACTATATCAGATATAAAGGAAGCTGAGTTTCGTCTTTCTCAACATGCTGCCTTTGGCGAGGCTTTGGGCGACTCCTCGCCCTTCACAATTTTCCCGCCGCCCTGGCGCAAAGTCGACAGGCCACTGCTACATGTGCAACAGAGTGGCTCAGCTGCTTGGCTGTGCTTCCGATGCCCTGCGTTAGTCGAACCACCGCCACCGCCTTCTTCAAGTTCTTCTTCTTGATCTTCATGGCCCCCCCAGCAGCTCGGTGAGAGCACCGGGATGCTTGCTAAACTGAGCCAATTGCGATTCAGAAGTTGCACTCTCAAGATGTCAATGATTGGAGGAAGTGAAACCTCGCAGGCGTAGTCCCTGCAACATGGTTAGCTGGGAGTACAGTACATGAGCTCCGCTCCCTGCGCACACGTTCGCGAGCCGCACGCCCTGCCGCCGTCGCCCTGACATTGACGTTGATCAGGCACCGAATCTGAGAATAGCCGTTGCAAAACTCAAGTTACTCGTACTTACGCAACGCAGACAGTTCAGGATTGAGCCAGGTGATCAGCAACAAAAGCAACACTCTTTCATCGTAACTTTCCAAAATCGTGCTGCGCAGCTGCACATCGGTTTAATCTCATTCAAAAGCCTTCCAGGCAGCTCCAGCCCCGAGGCACTGTGCCACCCTTTTCGGACAATTCACCGCAAGCGGCAGTATAATCCCCTCCCGCGCCAAACGCAGCATGACATTTGCTGAAAGAACAAGAAAGACCCACTCCCGCGCAACTGTTCGACTGAAGCAGTGGATGTGATGATGGAGTCTCCAGATCCCTCCTGCGAATTGTGGTGTCCTCCCCCTGCAGGCGGAAGTCTACCTGCCATCGAAAGGATTGGACAGTCGCTTGGGCAATTTTAGAGATCCCTGGCAATGGTGTGGTGTTACAGCCAGGCTCGAATGCGAAGGGTCTGCTCCGTCGATTCAAAATAAAATGAGCATCCACTGCCCCGTAGAATCCCCAAACCGGCACGCCTCTGACTCCGTCTGTCTCTCTCTCTGTCTATCTTTATTCTTTCTGGGTTCTCTCTATCGTGTCATTTTTAATGCATGTCTGTACTGCCTGTGAACACTCCCGAACACGCCTGCTGACTAACAGAATGCAAGCAAACGAGTGAGCACAAGGCGCACGCACAGGTAGGGACACGCGTGCTCGCAAACAAACAACCAAACAAGCACACAAACAAACAAACAAACAAACAAAAAACACAGAAGCAAACAACCAAACAGGCAAGCAAGCAAGCAAGCAAGCACGCAGGCAAGCGAGCGAGCGAGCAAGCAAGCAAGCAAGAAAGCAGGCACACAAACACACAAACACACAAACAAACAAACGAACAAAACGAAGAAAACAAACAAAACATAACTACAACAACAGAGCAAACAAACAAGTAAACAACAAGCAAACCAAAAAACACAAGCAAGCACGCAAGCAACCAACCACAAAAACACAAACAAACAAACACAACAACCAAATAATCATATCAAACAAATAAACGAGCACACAAACAAACAAACAAGCAAGCAAACAAGCAAGCACGAACAAACAAACGCACAAACAAACGAGCAAGCAAGCAAGCAAGCAAGCAAGCAAGCAAACAAAACAAAAACAAAAACACACAAACACACAAACAAACAAACAAACAAACAAACAAACACACAAACAAACACACACACACACACAAACACACAGACACACAGACAAACAAACAAGCAACGACGGCGACAACGACAACGACAACCACAGCGACAGCGACAGCGGCAGCGGCAGCGGCAGCAG